AGTGAGACATGCGCGACAAAGCGATAATCGCGGGTCTCCCTCCTACCAAGCGAAACGTGAAAAACGTGCGTGCGAAATTTTGCGCTTGTGCACCTGTCGTGCACGGACGACCCAGTGACGCGATCCCAGAAAGTTGAAATATTTTCAACTTTTCATCGCTGTCGCTCGGACGAGGACCAATCAACGGAGGTTTCATTCACTGACCAATGAGCGGACATAATGCTCCGTACATCTCCGAGCAAACATGGAGAAGTTGATTATTATGTTTTATATAGTAAAATCATTTCACATAACTCTAACAGCACCTTGTGAAACATCATATCTACCACTTTATTAACTCTGAACCGCTTAAATAACCTTAATTCCCTCCAACCTGGCACAGCCAAACAAAACAACGGAAGTTTCAGTTTCGCCATGGAACAGAACGCGTAGACGGTTTTGCCGCTGGCCGCTGCCGCGGGTCGCCTCCCGTGTGTCGGGTAATAAAAGCGACAGTGATGAATTTTGCTGATCGCGGTCGTTCGTCGCCTCCCATGTGTCGAGCCCATTAAAGGGACTTTACGGAGTTTTGAATTTTTATGCTCGCGATTGCCCCCTCAGGCCAAAAGCGTAATGGCAGCTTCAATAGTAGGCTCGTGCACGAGGCGCGCATGCTGTACGTGCACATTCCTTAAAGAAAATAACAGCTGAGACAGTCCCTTGTGTGTGTGTGTGGCCTGGAGGACAGAGGACAGGAGAACGCGCAGCTAATTAATTAAATAATTTAGTTCTGTACCTTTCTCTTCAGCACAGCCGACAAAGGTTTATGATGGGTCAGTCCTCCTGCACGCTCAGATCATTCCCTTCCCTTGCTTGAAAAATTGTTCCAAAATGAAAGTTGAACTCATATCTTTTTTATCTGTGATTTCCAGTGTTGGGAGTAATGCGGTACAAAGTAATTAATTATTGTAATGCATTGCTTTTTGCTGTAATGTGGTAATGTAAGGCATTACAGGGAAAGAAAATGGTAATATTTACTCGGTACAGTTGTCAGTAACGCGGTAATTACAATGCATTTTAAACCCAGAATCAAGATGTGTTCCTTAAAAATTCAAATTGCGGGAAACCCGAAAAAAGATCCAGTATCCACATATATGACGTCATTTATGGACTCAGCTTTGCAGGCAGAGAGGACGCCGCGGTAACGGCTCAAATACTCCAGCTGTGTCCTGCACGCGGCCGCTGCAACATTCACAAAATCGCTCCACTAAAACAAAATAATTCACCTGCGATCGTTCATATCAGCGCATATTCTCTGGTATTTTGTGCTTTTCTGACGTGCTTTGCCTCAGTTGAGTTCATAATCTGTGCCCCGGTGATTTCAACTCATTACTGCTGGAGCGCCGCGCATGTGAAGATCCCTTTGGCTGATCGTTAGAAAGTAGGAAATCTAGTTTACAGTTTTTTTCTGGAAGACGGAGAAAACATGCAGCATGCAGGAAGGTTAGAGAGAGAAAGGGCAGGAAATTATTCAAATAAAATCAAGAAAAAAAGAAAAAAGTAGGTAGATGTATCCCCAATACACATTTTTACCAGTGAAAAGCAATTATCTATAAGCATTTAATATTTATACATGTGATAGAATCAGATCACCCCAGAAGTCAGTCCCACATCCAGGGCCGTATCAAGGCATTTGGGGACCAAGGCAAATATAGGCTTGGAGCCCCCACCACCTCACTCCCTGCTCAGTTAATATAAGATGGCAGCGTGCTGAGAGTACAGATTGTTGTTGCATTTATTTAATAAACAATCATTTTAAAGCACTGTTATTATATCTGACTGTTTTTAACAGCAACCCTAGCTCAGACACCACATCACCTTCCACATATATGTCATGAGCTCACTGAGCGTCACATTACCAGTTTCATATTAAAGTTGTTTTGGTGAAAGTAACTTAAAGTAATGCAAAAGTAGTATAATGCCTTACATTTTAAAATCAGTAATATTGTAATGTAATGAATTACTTTAAAATTAGGGTAACAAGTAATAAATAATGCATTACAGTTTTGAAGTAACTTGCCCAACACTGGTGAATTCAATGCCGTTCGGCAAGTCTCAAATAAAAATTTGGGCATCTTACTGTAAAAAAAAATATACCATTAATGTAAAAAAGAAACTCTAAATAAACTATATTCACACCCAGAATCGAACCTGGATCCTCTGCACGAAAGTCCAATGTCTTACTAGGCAAGCTAAAGCACCAATGAAATTCTGTGTATCTTTAACATTTATATCCTTGATGACACCTGAAACAACGTTCAAAGAACGGTTCGGAGGGCGATGCCTGAGCGTGAACGCGCATGAAGCAGCCTGCTCAACCCTAGCAGCTCTCTTTTTCTGTGATTTTACAGAAAAACAGGCAATCACAGTAAAAATGCCAGTGCTCATTCTACAGGACCAGGGCATTGCAGGAGAATGTATGAAGAAGAAATTTATTATTTCTATACATGTTTTGGCTGTCAAACGTCCATAATGCCCCTTTAAAAAACAGTGAAAACGCTGGCAGCGAAGGCCTTTTCTGATCAGGAAACTGCTGGCAGTGAGTGAGTTAAGTGACAGAGCCCTGAAATGGCTCATTCTGGAAGGTCATAAAACTGTCAATAAAACTGCTGAAATTGCTTCATGTGAGAAGGATTCAGTGCAAAGAACTTAATTAACATATTTTTAATTGACCATAGAACAATCAAAACTTGTGAAAAAGTCAAACGTTCCTTTTAAGGAACAGATGTTTGAAGTTCATCTCCATCTGAACAACTTGAGAAATATCTACTAAATGGCAGCAGCAGAAGAGTTTACAGGAAGTAGATCTTCAAAAACAAACAGAACTTAAACATTTGTTTCTTTTCACGTGATGGTGATGAAGTTTTGTTCACCACAGTGTGTAAAATATAACAAATCACCATCAACACCTTTCATCCATCTTCTCTCTGTAAGGCTCTGCAGATTTCTGTTTTATTTCTGTTTGTTTTAGGAAGCTGCTGGAAATCAAGGAGAAAACGGTTTTTTTTTGTTTGGGTTTCCAGACCTTCACCTGCCCGAGTGTCATTACCTGTGAACAGCTGATGCAACGCCATGGTAAACATGTCACGTGCCCAACTTTTGAAAACTTGCTGCAGTCATCATATTTAAAATAAAAACAAATGAAATTCCTGAGTTTCAACACTTTAGATGAGCTCTTTGTCCCATTAGGCGAGGAGTTGAGGTTATTCTCACGTTTTAGGGAGCAGAAATCAAACTCGTCACTGTTTCATCATGTGGAGGCTGATTGGCTGCCTCACCTGCGTCTCACCTGTTTGCAGCCTGCTGACAAACAGACGACGTCTCGGTCTCACTAATGATGACAGCGAAGAGCCGTGTAGACATCCGTCTGCAGGACAGCGTGGGCTGTTGTCACTCTGGCTCGTCCAGCATCACCTGGACGATGTGCAAACGCTCTGAATCAGACCTGAAAATAAACACATGATAGTTTTTCTGACATCTGTAATGATCCTCCTGGGGTCCGATGTGATGCTGGAATCATGTCTGGGTTGTTATTTTGTCTTGAGGAAAAGCGGCCGTGAGGAGAGGAGATCTCCTGCTGCTGATGTTCCAGTTGAAGCACGTGTTTGTGGAAAAGGTGGAGTGATTTTTCTTCAAGTTAAATTGGTGTTCCGCTCACAACCCTTCATCGACCCGCAGCTCACAGCTTGCCAGAGGCTCAGCGCCATTCCGGCTCTATTTTATTTTGCATAAAGCAGATGCAGATTTCAGCATTTCCTCCCCTTTTCTCCTCCTGCCCTTCCTCAGGTGTCACCGCCTCGTGCTTCTGTATTGTTCCCGTCAGAGGAAATGTGTTTACACCACAACCTCTTGCTCTTTGTATTCTGACATAGACAGAATTGCTGCCTGTCACTCTTCCGGTCCCTTCCATTCATTCGTCCCATGGTTTGTTCTGAAACGCGTCTGTAAATGATGGTATTTATTGTTTTCCTCCTGCGATGCTTTAAGTTCTTTAAAGGTGCTGGAGAAAAATAAAAGTGGATGTTTTCTGTTACACGACTTTGTAGTTTAAATAAAAAAAAGTTGCATCGGGTCAACTTTACTTGCACAAGTTGGTCCAAAGTTCAGAGAAAATAAAAATAAACAATTATGAAAGTAATGATATTTTTCATTTCTAAAATAAATGAAGATGTGAAAAATAAGAATAAAGAAACAAAAACTGCAAAGGAGTAAATAAACCAATCCCTCATCCATTCAGCATTCATCCGTGGGGCAGCAGTGACTCAGGAGCTAGAGCGGGCTCTCCAGTAATGAGAGGTTGCGGGATCGATCCCGGCTCCCACCAGAGAATGCTGCTGTTGTGTCCTTGAGCAAGACACTTAACCCACCTTGCTTGCTGCTGGTGGTGGGTGGTGCCTGTGCTACGATGTAGCTCACCACCAACAGGGTGTGAGTGTGAATTATAGTGAATGACTGTGTTGTAAAGCACTCTGAGGGGAGGACTCTAGAAGGTGCCATATCAAGTACAGGCTATTTACCATTCATATATAATTCATCCATCAATCATTCACTCATCGTTTCTCCACTCATTCATCCATGTTTGAAATTTGTCCATCGTCTATTCATCATCCACTCATCCATCCATCTGTCCATCCGTCCTTGATCTACTCATCCATCAAAGCATCCATTCACTCTTCAGTGCATCCATCACCCTCATTCCTCCCTCCCTCAGAACGGGTTTTTCTTGGTACCAATTAAGATTCTGCTGCCGTATCTTGTTCCAGTTATACTTTTTTACCTGTCGGACTGAGTTCTTGCCACTCTCAACGCCTTCTGAACCTTTTAACCTGCATTTAAAGCTCCAGGAAATCTAATTCCGTCTTTATGTGCAGCTGAATGTTCTGGATGTTTGGACCTGGGAGTCACAAGAACCTGAGTGATTTAAATCCAGCTCTCCTTTGTTTTCTCTCTGCTTCCTGCAGGACGGAGGGAGAGGGAGGAGTAGGAGGAAGATGGGGGTCGTTGGGGTCCCTCCCCTCACTCTGATGTGTCTCATCCTCTTCAGTTTCATCCCTCTGGTGCGGCCCCTCAACCCGGATGACCCAAATGTGTGCAGCCACTGGGAGAGGTAGGTTCTTCTCTGAAATGCTGCAGTGAACTAATGGACTTCCTGCCACAAATCAAGGCTGAGGGGTTTGCCAATAATCAGATGCAGAAAGGAAAAGGTTTACTGCGGGGACACATGGAGGCTGTAAATTCTGAGCGGCTGCAATGTGGTCCGACCCGAAAAGGCACCGTGCCATTTCTGATGAGAGCCAGTGGAGCTGCTGTGATCGATGGGAAGTTTGAAAATGGATATGAGCTCTGATGATGATTATAGTTTTCACTTCTGACAAAGGCTGTGTGTGTGTGTGTGTGTGTGTGTGTGTGTGTGTGTGTGTGTGTGTGTGTGTGTGTGTGTGTGTGTGTGTGTGTGTGTGTGTGTGTGTGTGTGTGTGTGTGTGTGTGTGTGTGTGTGTGTGTGTGTGTGTGTGTGTGTGTGTGTGTGTGTGTGTGTGTGTGTGTGTGTGTGTGTGTGTGTGTGTGTGTGTGTGTGTGTGTGTGTGTGTGAATACAAGTATAACAATGATTATTGTGTTTGCTCAAGTTCAGAAACACACTACACTGTGACTCTTCCCCTGAATAAGAAGCACCTGAACATTGTCGTTGGTTCTGGTTCAGGTCATGCAAAGTCTGTTTTAATCTACTCAAAGCAGCAGTGTCAATTTCTTAGAATATTTTATTAAACAGACATGCGTGGAATATGACACGTCCACTTGTTATCAGACCCTTAACACACTTTTATATTCCTTTTTTCTATTTATTTATTTATTTAAACTTTATTGTTATTGTTTTTGAATGCTTTGTAATTCCGACCAGACACGGAGACAGAGGTGAAAGAGAAAGGAAAAGACAAAAGGTGGGCAGGGGGTGGGGGGGTTCCACAAAAATAAACAATAATGAACAAGAGTCTGCTTCTAGACCTACAGAAAAAGACAAAAAAAGCAAAAGAACAAAAAAAAATGGGACACAACAACAATACAACAAGATCAAGCTATCACTGCGTCAACTTGATGAAGAAATATATAATCAACATTGTTTAACTGAAGAATCACACAATAATAAATCACAGTGCATTAAGTGCCCACCATACTCTTAAGACCTGTGTTTAATGTGCCCAAGCCCATACTTTTGAGAGCACCATGTGAGCACTTGTGTGTGTACACGCACTTGCTTATCAGTGTTGGGCAAGTTACTTCAAAACTGTAATGCATTATTTATTACTTGTTACCCTCATTTTAAAGTAATTCATTACATTACAATATTACTGATTTTAAAATGTAAGGCATTACACTACTTTTGCATTACTTTAAGTTACTTTCACCAAAACAACTTCAGTATGAATCTGGTAATGTGACGCTCAGTGAGCTCATGACATATATGTGGAAGGTGATGTGGTGTCTGAGCTAGGGTTGCTGTTAAAAACAGTCAGATATAATAACAGTGTTTTAGAATGATTGTTTATTAAATAAAAGCAACAACAATCTGTACTCTCAGCATGCTGCCATCTTATAGGGCCATCTGAGCAGGGAGTGAGGTGGTGGGGGCTCCAAGCCTATATTTGCCTTGGTCCCCAAATGCCTTGATACGGCCCTGGATGTGGGACTGACTTCTGGGGCGATCTGATTCTATCACATGTGTAAATATTAAATGCTTATATGTTATTGCTTTTCACTGGTAAAAATGTGTTTTGGGGATAAATCCACCTACTTTTTTTCTTTTCAAGCACTTTGTTTTGTTTTCTTGATTTTATTAGAATAATTTCCTGCCCTTTCTCTCTCTAACCTTCCTGCATGCTGCATGTTTTCTCCGTCTTCCAGAAAAACTGTTAACTAGATTTCCTACTTTCTAACTAACCAGCCAAAGGGATCTACCGAACGCAAAAAAAAAAAATAAATAAAAGCTTCATATGCGCTGCGCTCCAGCAGCAATGAGTTGAAATCACCGGGGCACAGATTATGAAGTCAGCTGAAAAGTACATGAAGTACCAGAGAATACGGGCGGATATAAACGATCGCAAACGAATTATTTTGTTTTGGTGGAGCGATTTTGTTAATATAACAGCGGCCGTGCGCAGGATGCAGCTGTAGTATTTGAGCCGTTACCGCTGCGTCCTCTCTGCTCATAGAATGCCCGCAAAGCTGAGTCCATAAATGATGTCATATATGTGGATACTGGATCTTTTTTCAGGCTTCCCGCAATTAGAATTTTTAGAAAACCCACATCTTGATTCTGGGTTTAAAAATGTATTGTAATTACCGCGTTACTGACAATTGTACAGAGTATATATTACCATTTTCTTTCCCTGTAATGCCTTACATTACCACATTACAGCAAAAAGCAATGCATTACAGTAATTGATTACTTTTGTACCGCGTTACTCCCAACACTGTCGCTTATGTAAGGTTTCTCTATAGTAGCGTCCAACAGAGTGTGAGGGACCACAGATCTGCCCCCCCCCCCCCCCCAAAAAAAAAAGATGCGTAGGAGACGGGGGGAGCTCCAACCAGCAGCCGGCAGAGTCCCAGGAGATATCAGCGGCAAGCCCACAGGCCCGCCCGCGGCCTCACACCCCCTCGCCGGCCGAGCCCGGGACCCAGCGACCCGGGACCCAGGGGCGACCACCCCCGCCGGGGACCCAGCAGAGTCCAGGGACCCAGACCCCACCAGCCAGCCACCGGGATTGATCAGGCAGATGCCAAAAATCTTAAACCCCCAGACCCGGTTGCCACGAACACTCAGGCAGACCAAGGCACAACCCCCCACACCAGGTGTGGCAGGGGGAGGGGGGACGAAGATCTATATCATCAAAAGAAGTTCCAGGAGAGGGGAGGAGTCAAAGGCCCCACCTGACATATACAGTCATACACAAACACAGTCACACACTCCCTCCCTCATGCTCACACATGCACATACAACCCAAGACTTACAAAAATGCACGCCGGACACCCACTCGTGCTCCCCGTACACACCCTATTCACTCTGGTCCCGGTACTGCTGAACATTTGGTACAACCATCACCGGTAACCAGAGTTTGACCCTTTCTGCTGGGGTGCTGATGAGCAGGCTCCCCCGCTCAATGCTGAGCACAGCATCCCACCACCCCAGACCCCAACCAGATGGCCAGATCTCCCTCCTAGCCTCCAGCCCCAGGAAGCCAAGCAACAACAGAGGTGTGCTAAGACCCCTAGTCTCCCTCCGCCTGCTCCAATATAGCGTTGTGTGATCATGAGGTGTATTCCATGGCTGTGGTGAGCGGGCAGTGCGGGCATCATCCGGCCTATGCCAGCTGATGCCACCGCACCACCCCACTTACACCCTCAGCCCTCGTTGTCTAAGTGTGGTTTAAAATTGGGAGTGGGCACTGGCACCCGAGAGGAGGCTGAGATATCCCCCTGCCAAATGCCGTTGAATGTGCTCACTCCCAAGGCCCTAAGTGTGTGTTTGTGTGGAATGTCATCAGTGGAAGTGTATAAGGTGCAAATAAAATTGGGGGGCAGGTTGCCACAGGAATGCGGTTTGTGTGATGATGTGAGGGAGCAGGAGGAGAGAAATATGCGGGGTTGGGGAGGAATGGCTGGTTGGGCTTAGCCCTCCAGGGAGCCAGCTCCCCTACTGGCCCCAATAGGCTCCTCTGTTGTCAAATTGCCACCCAGGGCATGGAGACCCCAGCCCATCCTGCCAGGGCCCAAAGCAGCAGCATTACAGAGCCTCACGGAGTCCGAGGGCACCAACCCAGCCCCACCCCAGCAGAATATCTATGCCCATCCCTGCATTTGCACAACTTCCAGAATATATAAGACATGGGACATCCAGGTAAGGTTGGGTCCTCCCCCTCCTGGACCTCCCCCTCCCCTGTGATGGGACAGCAGAGGAGCCAAGGTCTACCCAAGGCCCCCGAACCTGGGCCAGGCACTGCTGCATGTTCCTGCCTTCTTCCCAGCAGCATACATGTCAGGACCCGACCCCCAAGGCCCCGCCCAGATCCCCACACGGGGCCGGCCACCCCCAAACCCCGAGCCCCCAGGCCCCCACCCAGACCCGCCTAGGGGCAATGCAGCTGCCAGGCAGTGACCCATAGTCGCCACCAAGATGCCCAAGGGGCGCCACTCACAACCGCCAGTAGTCCACCCCCCGAGGCAACCCAAGCACCTCCCGAGGGGGGCAACGGCCCCCCAGTCCCAGACACCCCCAGTGAACCCACCTCCAGGGAACATCCAGATACTCCAAACTCAGACCCCCCCCCACCCACACCATCCCGCAGGGCAACATCAGCAGTCCCCCACCCTCGCTATGTGATGGAACCGATCAAAGGAGCCCAGAGAGATTGATTTGAAGTGGAAGCAGAAGCTAAATCAAGTGTAATATGATCTAACAAAAGATTTCTAAACAAACAAACAAACCACCAGCTGACTGGTTTATATCTCTGGACTCCTCAATTACCAAATTCCTTTGGCAGGATAAACCTCCACGAAATAGCTTAAAAACGCTTCAGAAGACCAAAGACAGAGGAGGACTGGATCTACCCAACTTTTATTATTATTTCTTAGCCAACAGGCTGCAATATATACCAAGATGGTTGCAAGATAACCCACTAGATTAGTCTTGGTTAGACATAGAACAGACACTTTGCAATACGACAGAGCTTTCAGACTTACCATTTATTAGCTCAAGCATAAGAAAACATGAAGGCTTCAAAAGTATTAGTATCAGCACCTCTCTGACAGCATGGTGGGAGTATCTAAAAATGACAGAGTCTTCACTAGTACCATGCAGACGCACACCTATCTGGAATAATCCTGATATTTTGCAAAATAATAAAATGAGGAACCTTCCGGACTGGAAAAATAAAGGAATCCTATACCTGGAACACATATATGAAGGACTGGACTTCATCCCATTTAATAGAATAGTCTCCCAATTTGGAATGGATAAGAATAGCTTTTTAGAATATCACCAAATTAAATCTGTAGTCAAACAAAAATTTAAGCTCAATAAAATAGAATTACAAACACCACCAAGGGTATTAGACTTCTATAATCTCAACCCCCCCCCCCCCCCCCCAAACTACTGTCTAAAGTATATAAGACACTGTCCAAAATAGACGATAGAATAGCAATCCATATTGAAAAATGGGAGGTGGATCTATCAGTCAGACATGACCAGGACTTCTGGTCCCAAACTTGTTTAAAAACGTTTAAAATGATCAGACACCCCAATTTACAATTAATTCAGTACAAAATTCTACACAGAGTACACTATACAGGTCATCGGATGTTCAAGATGGGGTTTGTGTTGTCTGACACCTGTACACACTGCACAAACATCGTTCCTGACAATTACATTCATGCACTGTGGTCCTGTCCACCTGTTCAGGAATTTTGGGGTAGAGTGTGTGAAGACCTGTCAAAGTGTCTGAAATGTCATATCCCAACTTCCCCCTATCTTTATTTACTGGGAAACCTGGACGATGTCCCGATTGAAACATCTGTGGTTCACGTGGTTCTGACTGCCATATGCATCGCTAAGAAAACTATCCTCTTGGATTGGAAAAATAGAGAAACTCTCTGCATTAACCAGTATACAACACTTTTATATTCCTTGAAAAGCTAGCGAGCTCACGTTGCTGCTGCTGCTGCTTGTAGATTGTGATTGTTGTTCTTCAGCTTCCAAGAAAGAGGGACGTTGTTATGGTAACCAAAGTAACAGTGGATAGGCTAAATATTACATCAGTTAGGTTACTGGCTAACTCTATTATATTAATGTGTTGTGATCTAGCGGCACTACCTTTGTGATCTGCTGGTTGATTGTGATCGCTGTATTGTGCCATTAGAGGAAAATTTGACGTTTTCTTGATAAAACTGTGATTGTTGTGCTGCAGCTACGCGGTGACCGTGCAGGAGTCCTATGCCCATCCCTTTGACCAGATCTACTACACCCGCTGCACCGACATCCTCAACTGGTTCAAGTGCACCAGACACAGGTCAGAACACTTTTAGTCTTGGTTCTGATCCAATCAGGTTCTTCTGCCTAAAGCAGTGGTGCCCAACCTCTGGACCAAGGACTGGTACTGGTCTGTGGGTTATCTGGAAACGGTCATAAGAAGCAGTAAAACTGGAGTTTTCTTAATCTGTATTCAGTGATTCTGACAGCTATCACAATAACATTTAAAACAGTGTTTCATGTTTTAATCTGATCCAGGATCAGCTATAAGACGGCGTACCGGAGGGGCGTGAGGACCATGTACCGGAGACGCTCCCAGTGCTGCCCAGGGTTCTTTGAGAGTGGAGACCTGTGTGTCCGTGAGTGATGTCATCACCTTTACATGATTAAATAGGATTTATTATCTGTGGTGAGAAAACAGGACAGAATGCGGCTCCAGAGGTGCCTCTGCTTAGGTGAAGCACATGTTAACATCTGGAAACAAAAGTCCCCCCCCCCCCCCCCCGCTCCCATCATTTATTTTTAATTCTGTGTGTGTGTGTGTGTGCGTGCGCGTGCGCCTGTGAGTGTGTGTAATTGATATTTTTTCTTTAGACAAGAAATAATAACCTGTAATATTGTGGATGATAGGACATGATTTACCTCTAGATGGAAATGAAATTGTTTTATATTACATATTATTACATATATAACAAATAAATGTGCCTGTGCTACATTTGACACATTTATCTCTACCTCTATAGATAGATAGATGGACAGATAGACAGATAGATGGATAGATAGATAGATAGATAGATAGATAGATAGATAGATAGATAGATGATAGATGATGGATGGATGGATAGATGGATAGATGGATAGATGGATAGATGGATAGATAGATAGATAGATAGATAGATAGATAGATAGATAGATAGATAGATGGATAGACGGACGGACGGACGGACGGACGGATGGAAGTTTAGGATTGAGGATTCTAAAATCTTTTATCCTATTTTCTGTGAAGGGGTTGCTTTTAAACTGATGTTCTTCATTAGAAGAACCTCCTTAGCTTCTGTCGTCTGATCACTTCTTTTCTCCCCTTCTTCCACCTGATGCTCTGGTGGAGTTGTTCTGGTTCCACTCAGGAATAGATCTGTATGGCGATGGTTGGAGGAGCCATCGGATCCGGATCAATCTGGCCTTCAAAACCAGATCGATCCAGCCGTCAGACATTAATCAATCCGGCCGTTGGGTCCGGATCAATCCGGCACTGCCACAAATCCATTCACAGTTAAATCTGACCTCGGAGTGTTTGTGGAGCTGGAGTCTGTTAAACCTGAAGCTGTGGTGTAGCAAACCACTCGTGGGGTTCTGCTTTCATCTGAGTAAACCGTGTCGAGTCAGATCATATCAGGTGTGTGACGTTTACCCTAACCCTAAGCACAACCTGCTTTTTTCAAAATAAGAGTTCACAAATGCAATAAAAGCTTAATGATCCGTTTTGTTGTTGTTGTTTAAACCAGACGGACTTATTTATTATTTTGTCCTTTCTCATGTTCTTATGATCATCATAATTATTATTACTAATATAATTTATACATTTTTTATATTTATTATTTTTTTTATTTTTAACTCATTCTCTGCCAGCTGTTTGCTGATCAGAAAAGCCCTTCGCTGCCATCGTTTCTCAGTGTTTTTTTAAGAGTGACAGAACGTTGCGCGCTAGGATGATGTCAACACCAAAACAACCAAAACAAAGCGGAGACTCACCTCTTACATCTTGAAGAATCCGCGCTTTTCGAGCTTTATCCGCTCTTTCATAATCTGTTGTCGAACTGCGATCGGCAGATGCTTTTTCGGTTGGCGCCTCACTTTTTTTTTTACAGCAGCGTCCCAAAACGATCTCCTAACGTGGATGTTCTGCTTCCTGATCACGTGACCTGTGGCGTATGCGAATGAAGATCGGCTTTAGAGCTGGGATGTTTGTTCTCACGGTGCGGGGGCTCGTTCCGACGCCCACACAGTAAAAACATGCAAATGACGACTTTAGTCATTATTGGCAGTGAATGAGTTAAAAGGTGGGGGTTCAGAAATACCTTCAAACAAGTATATCGAGGCCATTTATAATCATCAGTGGTTGATTACAATCGGGCTGATAAATAAATGTAAGTAAAACTGGAGCCGGATTCGGGAGCAGCTGGAATCTGTGTCAGCATCCAAGAAAATGTCTCCAGTTCGCCTTTATCTCCCGATGAAGCTGGATGAGTGAATTTTCCGACCCAGATGATGAAGTGTTTGGGTTTGTCCCTGAACAGAGAAGGAGTATGCATACCCCATTGCTTGTAAACAACTACATCAGATTTTGCCTCAGGACTTGAACCAGTGACCTTTGGCTCCTTTGTGTGAAGCTGCGCATTCATGAAGCGTCCCGCTCCGACTGGCTGAGCATCCTCAATGCGGAGCAGCATCTCTTCATCCTTAACGAGGACAACGGGCCGGGACAGGACTTCTGTTGGATGCGTCCTATGACCGGGGCTAATTAGAGGCTTCCAGGAGGAGGAGGGCTGATAAGATGGTCTGGTTACTCTTCTCTCTCCTGTTTTATCTGAAACTCTCAGATGAACACATGAAGGATTCATTCAGTTAAAATCTGTTTCATTTTAAGTATTTTTGATTCTGAGGTCATTTTGTGACTTTATTCCTTCATCTCCTTCCTCTTTTTCTGTCGCCCATCTGACCTTTGAACCCATGCAGCTCGCTCTTCTCAGACCTCATCAGACCTCCGCCAACCTGTGACTTCACCTTGCTCCTCTTCATCACTACACCCCCGTTTCCCAGCTTTTATCGACACACATTAACAAAAAGTCCCATTTTCGCTCTAATAAAATGTTGGGTAAAACTTTACCAACAACCAGACTGAATACAAAAAGATGCTTAGGTGAAAGGTCAAACCCTTTCATTCGTGGAAGCTGAGTCGAGATAAAATAAGAAGTCTGGTTAGATTCAGAAAACAATTTGAGCCTAAAAGGTTTAGTTTGACTCCCATTTTAGGTTTTCTGTTTTGGTTTCTGAAAACCAGAGAAGAAGAACATGAGAATATCTCAGCCAGGTTCAGGAGGCTCAGCGCGGTGCTCCATTACTCCCAGAACTCCTTTAGAGTGAGGAGAGAAACCTCCTCCCCCTCCTGACCCCCTCCTGCTGCTGTCTCTGAGGAGTCTCTGGAAGGGTTCCACTTAATGGTTCTGGAACCAAAACCAAAAGTCAGAGCCTCAGTTCAGCAGCTTCAGGTTGAAGAAGAAGAAGAAGAAGAAGGAGAAGGAGAAGAAGAAGAAGAAGAAGAAGAAGGAGAAGGAGAAGGAGAAGAAGGAGAAGGAGGAGAAGAAGAAGGAGAAGGAGAAGAAGAAGGAGAAGGAGAAGAAGAAGAAGAAGAAGGAGAAGGAGGAGAAGAAGAAGGAGAAGAAGAAGGAGAGATTAATGATTAATGTTTGTGGTGAAACATCAGATAATGTTCCTGAAGGACAATCCAACCCAGAGGCAGATGGAGGACTGATTAAACCAACAGAACCGGGTCAGAACTCATCCTTCCTCAGATCCGTTTCACACCCTCTGATTGTTCTTAGGGAACGTCGGAGTTTCAGACTCCTGGAGGTTACTTTTTCCCACCAACGAATCCTAACAGCGACGCCTTGCTGCTGCGTGATAATTAGTGAGTGGGTCTGAGAGGCCGTGTGAAAGTTCTGCGGCTTTTTACAGCCTCGTTCATAAAAACGCAGAGATGTTTGTGAGAGCAGCTGGACAGGGTGTGGAAACGGGCTTCAGTTCATCAGGGATGTGGCGAGAGCTTCTGCCTGTTTCTGGTTTTATTCTCATCACAGGATCAGAGGAAACTTTCAGCCTCAAACAGAAACTCTCAGCTGATTTTGGTGTTTTTATTTTAAAATATCGCAAAACATTTTAAGTTCAGAATCTCTTTGTCTCATTTCAATCATTTTAAGAAGGTCAGACTTATTCCTGCTGTTGTTGGTCGTCCCTTTCTCCTCGCAAGGATTTCTTCTTCTCCCGCCTCATTATTCGATAACGACAGAGTGACACTCAGCAGCGTGCCGCCTCGTTTATTACTCTGCGATAGAGTTGTTTGTTTGTTTTCGAGCTGGCTGATAAGACCTGGTGACTCTGGGCTCTAAGTTCACGTCATGATGAAATATGACACCACGAGGTGAGAATGAAGGTGAGCGTGGTCTTATCGGCTTCCTTTTTTATCAGGAGGCAGCAGGAAGCATCTCCTCACATCCGGACAAGGTGTTCTTCAGCTGCTAAATAAATAAATACATACAATAATAAAATAAGTTGTGATGAATGAATGTGTCTCAGTCAGAAACAAAACTGCTGATGGATGACTTCCCTCCCAAACACGCTGACTTTTATTCTGAAGGATCTGAATTGAAAGATTATATTAAAATAATAAAACAATAAAATCTCATCAGCTGTAGTTTGAGTTTATTTGTATTTATTTGACTAGAATTGGTGTCTGATTGTGGGACCTGAATCAGGTACAATGGTTTGTGGAGGAATAAACCACACCTCAGGTTTTCAGGTTTAGATGGATTAATCAGGTTTTAGTCTTTATATTGTCGTCTTCGTCTTCCTCCGCTTATCCGGGTCCGGGTCGCGGGGGCAGCATGCCAACTAGGGAGCTCCAGACCGTCCTCTCCCCGGCCACCTCCACCAGCTCCTCCGGCAGGACCCCAAGGCGTTCCCGGACCAGATTGGAGATGTAACCTCTCCAACGTGTCCTGGGTCGACCCGGGGGCCTCCTGCCGGCAGGACATGCCCGAAACACCTCCCCAGGGAGGCGTCCAGGAGGCATCCTGACCAGATGCCCAAACCACCTCAACTGGCTCCTTTCGATCCGGAGGAGCAGCGGTTCTACTCCGAGTCCCTCCCGAATGTCCGAGCTCCTCACCCTATCTCTAAGGCTGAGCCCGGCCACCCTACGGAGGAAACTCATTTCGGCCGCTTGTATCCGCGATCTCGTTCTTTCGGTCATTACCCAAAGCTCATGACCATAGGTGAGGATTGGGACGTAGATCGACCGGTAAATCGAGAGCCTGGCTTTCTGGCTCAGCTCCCTCTTCACCACGACAGATCGGCTCAGCGTCCGCATCACTGCAGACGCCGAACCAATCCGCCTGTCGATCTCCCGATCCCTCCTACCCTCACTCGTGAACAAGACCCCGAGGTACTTAAACTCCTCCACTTGAGGTAGGACCTCTCTCCCAACCCGGAGTTGGCAAGCCACCCTTTTCCGGTCGAGAACCATGGTTTCAGATTTGGAGGTGCTGATCCTCATCCCAGCTGCTTCACACTCGGTCGCAAACCTACCCAGCAAGAGCTGAAGGTCAGAGCTGGATGAAGCTAGGAGGACCACATCATCCGCTAAAAGCAGAGACGAGATTCTCCTGCCACCAAACTCGACACACTCCACACCACGGCTGCGCCTAGAAATTCTGTCCATAAAGGTAATGAACAGAACCGGTGACAAAGGGCAGCCCTGGCGGAGTCCAACCCTCACCGGGAACAGGTCCGACTTACTACCGGCTATGTGGACCAAACTCACGCTCCTCTGGTAAAGGGACTGAATGGCCCTTAACAGAACGCCACCCACCCCATACTCCTGGAGCGTCCCCCACAGGGTGCCCCTGGGGACACGGTCATAAGCCTTCTCCAAATCCACAAAACACATGTGGATTGGTTGGGCAAACTCCCATGCCCCCTCCATCACCCTTGCAAGGGCATAGAGCTGGTCCACAGTTCCACGGCCAGGACGAAAACCACATTGCTCCTCCTCAATCTGAGATTCAACTATCGATCGGACCCTCCTCTCAGTACCTTGGAGTAGACCTTTCCAGGGAGGCTGAGGAGTGTGATCCCCCTATAGTTGGAACACACCCTCAGGTCACCCTTCTTAAAGATGGGGACCACCACCCCGGTCTGCCACTCCACAGGAAGTGCCCCCGATGACCACGCAAAGTCATGCCCTGGGGGCGGATTAATATTGTTATTATTTTAAATTAATCATCCACAATTGTCTGACAGGTCATAAGGAACAGGAATCTGCTGTGTGTGTGTGTGTGTGTGTGTGTGTGTGTGTGTGTGTGTGTGTGTGTGTGTGTGTGTGTGTGTGTGTGTGTGTGTGTGTGTGTGTGTGTGTGTGTGTGTGTGTGTGTGTGTGTGTGTCTGCTCTGTCTTCTCGATCCCCAGTGAGTCGTGGAGGATGGCTGCTTATACTGAGCCAGGATTCTTTGGAGGTTTCTTCCTGTTAAAAGGGAGTTTTCCTCTCCAATGTCGCTGCATGCTTGCTTAGTATGAGGATTGCTGTATAGTCACTGACGCTAGTCAGTGACTTGATGCAATTTGCTGGGTTCCTTATATAGGAAACATTATTTCTGATTGGCTTAATGAACTGTGAATTGGAATGTTTATTATGTGAAGTGCCTTGAGACGACTCTTATCGTGATTTGGTGCTATATAAATAAACTTGAATTGAATTGAATTGAATTGATGCTCTCACAAAGATGAAGTTTGGACCGGATCAGCATCCTGGGGTTCTGGGTTCTGCTCAGCCAGAACCTGCTGGTTCTTGCTATAATTTCAGGTGTTTTGTGATAATTTGTGTCCTTGTCTCCTCAGCGCTGTGCTCCGAAGAGTGTGTCCATGGCAGATGTGTGTCTCCTGAAACCTGCCAGTGTGAGCCCGGATGGGGCGGACTGGACTGCTCCAGCGGTGAGTCCGTCTCCTTAATGAGCTGCAGGTATAGAGAACAGGAGAACCAGCTGGAGAACCCAGGCTGGACCTGAGTTCTGGCCCTACAGCAGCCCGATCCGTATCAGATCAGATTTACTCTTCAGGCTAAAACGAGGAGTTTTATTTCAGCAGGAGTCTCATTTGTGGTGTTTGTATCCTAAACAACACACACACACACACACACACACACACACACACACACACACACACACACACACACACACACACACACACACACACACACACACACACACACACACACACACTATGTTTACTTGTTCTTATTGCCTCCCGCTGGCTGACACAGAGGTTAGGTAAATACAGCTCTTAGGCTAAAGATGAAATATTGATCAGTCAGAAGCTCTCTGTCTGGGGAGGAGCTAAAAGCCCACAGCTGGGTTCAGGTGGGTCCAGGTGAGCCTGAGAGTCTTTTTTAAATTTATTTTTTAATTTGATCATAAACTAAAAATCAGTGTGCACGAGGATCATGTGCACCTCTCGGTTAGCTGAACTAACAGCCCATCACCTGCAGAGGACTGTCTTAAAGATACTCCACATACCGTCCGGATGGAAAAGTGTTTTTATCTCCTTCCTGTTTGGACTGGATTGTTGTGAGGAATCGGATCCTCTGGTTTTGTTTGTCTCACGCGGGCATGGGCGTCGCACCCGTGGGGGATGTGGGGGATTCAACACCCACACATTTCTCATTGAGATCGTTCAACACCCACACTTTTCCAGCCGTTTTGCTCACCTCCACACCAGTCTGGTTTCTCTACATCGCACTCACTCCGTTTGCCTCATTTCCTTCTTCCCCTCCCTCTCCTGTGTCGGCGTCGGCTGTCGGGTTTAAGGAAAAACAGAAGAGAGAGGGAAGAGCTCGACTGAATTCATAATTTTACATCTTGACATTAGCTGTACAAACTCTGAGTTTGATAAAGTGAAGAACAACAATTTGCAGAGGTTTATAACAGGCGAGGCGCCAGGTTTTCATTTTTGGGTGGGCCACGGCCATTTTGGACGGACCTTAATAAGCAGTGACTTCAGTGAAGCAGGCAGGTTGCGCTAGAAAATTTCGTTTAAAAAGACGTCATAAATTCCCCCCCCCCCCCCCCCCCCCCCCCCCGTCATTTCTATTTTTAAAATATGAAGTAAAAAGTCCCAATTTAATTTTTAGTCATTTTTCATTTATAGGCACCAGAATGCATTACCTGCACTTCTAATATTTACCTCTCCACGTAGGACTCTTTCATAAGGGTACATGCACACCAGTAGTTTTTACGGTTATTCATGGGGCGAAATCTCCGACATTTTTGAACAAAAAAAAAATCCATCTTCCAGTAAAAGCAACGCATCCAGCCCACCTCTCCAAATGTGTAAAATGTGCATCACAGCCGCTAGGCGCGCCGTGCGCACCATCAGCTATGTCAGCCCAGACAAGAGCAGAGCAAATAGAGAAAGAATAGAGGATAATTCTGTCTGGATGTGGATGGAGATTAAATTTTACAGCAACCTGATCATCATTTAAATACGTAAACCATCACCTGTCTTCTAGTCCACGCTATCAGCATTATTTTAATTGGTGTGTGAGCGTTTGTGTTTGCGTGTGTGTGTGTGTGTGTGTGTGTGTGTGTGCGTGTGCGTGTGCGTGTGTGTGTGTGTGTGTTTTCCACTTCAAACACTGGTCTAACCAACCAGACCAGCGTGTCCAGTAACACATTAATGTTACAATTAAACAGTTTCACTTCATGTAGGCTAGGAACATTTCACCTGCTGTGGCCCGACCGCTTCTGCTCCACATAAACTTCGTGCGTGATCAAATATCTCTACAGGTGTTTTATGAGCTGAAGAGGCTATTCTGTCTCAGACTGGATGCGTCATGCGTCTCCATATTGGAGACGGGAACAAGCGCTGTTCAGCCAAAGTTTCATAATCAGCGAACATTTTTCCAAGTGACACATCCCTCAGAGAGACCGGCTTTCCAGACCGCTTCAGTGCGAGGAAATCTTATCGCATGCGCCGTGGTTCTGCGCTGCGAACCCCTCTACAGATCTTCAGCTCACTGTCCACCGTGTGCGCTCCGATCCGCGCTGAGCACAGTGTCCAGTATAAAGCTCTGATGTTCTGATGGGAATCATTTCTTGATTGATTTAGTTACCTCCGCGATGTGCCTAATGATTAAAATGTCAGCTCATCCATGCGCATCAGTGTGCGTCGGGGTAATTCTTTCAAAACAACCAACATCCTTGAGTTTATCCATCAAAATAAAAGTCAAATGTAAATATCTGTAACCTGCCATGTAACAGTTTTGCCTTCCTGTGAAGATTGTTGCAAAGAGAAACAACTAAACTTTATTAACCCCAGAGCCACGCGCACTGCACTGTACGTCGTGACTGTAAATGAGGGGGAAACGATTGTAAAGTTTCATTCAGTACAAACTTTAGTCACACCAATCTAACGAGACAGAGCCTGGATTTGTATTCTGAACACTTTAAACATGTTTAAAATGGAGACATGCGTGACGCGTCTATAATTCGCACCTGCTCCGCTATTATGGAAATTAAACTAAGATGAATAACATGAAATTATTTTAGGCACAGACAACATCCCCCACACTTTTGAAAATCTTGCAACGCGCCTGCACGCAGGTTTGCCAGTCTTTTAATCTGCTTCATCTCAGGAGAGTATTGTGGTTTAGTCGGAGTGGCGTGGAGCTGGTTTGGGTTGGGGGTTCTGATTGGTGGAGATAATGTTCCATGCTGGGTTGATGAGAAAATGTTTGAAAAACCTTCCCAAATGAAAACAGAGGAGACGGATTCAAGCTTCATCACAATGACTTCATCACTTCTATTGATCTAAGAGCTCATCTAGACTCGGTATGAACATGTGATGATCCAGGATCAGACCTGGATCAGGCCTCTGTTACCCGGTGAGCTGCAGCAGCAGAACCTCTGTTCTCCGGTCCAGTAGGACAGAGACAATCATGGACAAGCAGAGTTGAGGACAGTTGTGGACGAATGCTAATGAAAATGATCACATTCTCCTCGGGTCGTGATTATAATGAGAGTGTTTATCAAAGGAACCACGAATCAGATAAAAGAGAGAATTCTGCTGAGAAACGCTTTCAGATAATAAAGATTCTTAATCAGTCAGATGGAAACAAACTGCTGCTGAGGCAGTTTAACAGGTGACTCATTAGGAAACGTTCACCGTCAGGGCGAAGAACATAACCAAACTTCTGGTTTCTTTATTAGCTTTGGTGTCTGATTTATCCAGTGTGGAACATCAAACAGGAATTCTAGTTCTGACGTGGACTAAATCTGAGGATCTGGTGTCGCACCAGATGGCAGAAAATCACCGAAGTGACCAAAAACATAGTTCCCAGTGGGAACCCTGGGTTCCTCGTCTGGAGAAGACAAACCATGGAAAAACACAGCTGAAGCTCAAACAGCAGAGAGGAGAAGATCTCAGAACCCCTCAGTAGACAAAACAAGAGTCGACAGGAAGTGACCCTGAAGTCACACTGGATTATTTATAACAATAATAGATTAAAGTTCTGTTGTGCTCCAGAACGGTTTCGGTTTCTCCAACATTGTTGAGCTACAGCATCCCCCAACGAGGATGGAGCCAGATTCTACCTACTCCACCTCCTGAAGCTCTCCATCAGCTCCCGATTGGCTCTCAGCCAAGTCTCTCCATCAGTTTTCCACTTGTCCTTGATTGAATTCTCTATTATTCATAACGTTTTCTCTGGATTACAATCACCCATCATCTGAACCGCTTCATCCTCACTAGGGTCTCAGAAAGCGGGTGTCTCCATCGGTCTCCAGGTGAGAGGCGGGGGACACCTGGACTTATCTCCAGTCCATCACAGGGACACACAACCAGTCCCGCACTCCCTCACATTCAGGGACAACGCAGAGTCTCCCGTTTACCCTGACATAAAGGTTTCAGGTCAGCAGGAGGAAACCAGAAAAACCCACGTATGTAAACTCCACACAGAAAGGCTGCCGGTGGGATTCAAACCTGCAACCAGGCTGCTAGCCCGTCAGATGGATGGACTATCTGGGGTGGATTTTCTGATAAAGTCTCCTCAGTCTTCCTCTGTCTTTTTCTGGTTGTTATTTGAACATACATGACGACCTCAGTACAGATTTCCATTTGTCGCCATGGAAACCACCAGTGTCCTAACACAATACATTAGCATGCCTTTTTTTTTCCTGACAAGTGGTGAGCAGCTTCTTCACTTGTTTGCTCCTGTAATGGATGAACTTTGACCATCAGACAAAGAAAAGCGGGGTTTACTCCCAATGATACGTTTATTTAAAGACAGGAAGTGGAACAGATCCCTTTTTCTTAGAACCTCGTCATAATAACAGAAGAAGGGTTTGGATCCTGATGATTTTAGAAACCTCTCATTTCATTTCCTGAGACGCAGAACCACAGACCCAAATGGTTCTGGGTGAGAGGGGAACAATACCACCTTAAAGAATTGGGCTTAAACGCAAGAAAGAGATGCTAAAAAAGTTGGTGTTTAAAAACCAAACAAAGAAATAAAGAGAAAATAGAACAAATACCCCCATGATCAGTAATAATAATTACAGACGCAGGTTCAATTTGTAGAAGTTAGATAGTAAATGTTTTAATTAAAAATATCGGATTGAGATTATTGTCTAATTCATTATTTAAATGTTATCATAATGACAAAAATCAACTGTTTAGTTTATGACTGTGTTGAATGTCAACCATTTTTCTTTGGTTTGACAAAAAACACAATTAGGATTTTTTGCCACATAAAACAGCTGAGAAATAAACAGATTCTGATATTACAAATTGATCTTAGAAATTAAAATATGACACATTTCTGGACTGATGTAGCATTCGGCTGCAGCCCTGGTCCTCGAGTCTCCTCCTGCAGAGACCATCAATACTCGGAAGAACACGCTTCTCTCCGTGTCCTCGCTGACATTCCTGTTGAAGGA